CGTGGCCAAGAAAGTGGCCTGAGAAGCCATAGGACCGGGTGATATGGCCACTGCTCAACTACCGAAAAGGATGGGGTAAGAGATGATCTGGGTGGTATAGGAGAGGAGCACCCCTGGTTTACGCAACTTTGTGTCGTAAGAAAGAGTAATAGAGTTCAGACTCGAAAAGCTTATCTCAACTCACGTATGAATGAGACGGGACTCATCCGAGCTTCACCCACTCTCAATTCACCCCTCAATACAGTTGAATATGAATTAACTGACTCGTTGTATTCCCCCTTTGGGGCAGCATCTCCCTGCCGCATACCCGTTGATCGCATGAACTCCCGGTTCGGTTCGTGATGAGTTACAATCCGTCTTCGCGGTTCCCCGATTTCCGCTGAACTTGATTCAACATGGCTAAAAAAAAAACGCAATCTCGAGTACAGAGTCTTAGGCAATCGCGGCCGAATCGCCAGGAGCCTGGGGTGAGTGCGAGTTAGGAGTCGCCAAGGAGCCGTATCTCTTAGTCAACTTGCCTCCCAGTTGCTGCTCACGAGCAAACCCTCAAAAGTAGGTTGAAGTGTTGCACGGTAAACGAGCATCTCATCAACGTCATGTCACGTAGGGATGCCAAGACTTTGAAAAAGTTCGAGAAGCAAGCAACGCCGCAGGCCAGCAGAGGCCAGGAACCCACAGCTTCCCGCGCCCCCCCCCGGAGTTGGAGAAGTGGCAACTCCGGCTCCCCGGATTTATCCCCTCCCTCTATTACCTGGGATTCCAAGTACTCGCCGAGTCATTGTGTCTTTACATCAATTACCCGATTCGATGGGAAGGCGGTAAAGAACCCGGGGTCGAGCCAATCATGTCGAGTCGGACGGCTGGATCTGGAGTGATGGGCTATGCTTCGCAAGGATACTACGATGTCGCTCGAGACGAGGGGGGAGGCGGGAGGGAGAGCGGGACTGGGAAGTCTATTACAAATGGTGCGTTTACAGACGCTGTACGAGATGTAATGGTCCAAGACTTCTATTGAGAGAGAATCTCAGGATAGACTTGTCGGTTGAGAGTCAAGAGCACACTTCTCTCCAGCGCATCGAGTCGCGGAGGCGCGACCGAGGCCGACAATAAGTCCCTGTTTCCACTTGTTTCTCCCCACCGGGCAAGTGATCTTCGTTTTGAAGTGGATGTGCTCATTGTATAAAGTGTGGCAATGTAGATCAACTCGAGTCATGGAACCTGTACCGTCAACCTTGTTGATTGACATACTGCTATTTGTTCTTATTGACGTGAACAAACGCATCGGTTCTCTGCCCTCTTTGACCTTGAAGCGCGCTAAGAAACTGGCCATGGCTGGAAACAAAGAATAACGAGATAATGAGTTTGAACATGAACGGTTTGTGGCTTGTGTGATTTTTTTTTTGAATAAAGTAGAGTAAGGTAAGGTCAATATCTGTTGATGCCAACAGTGATGGCGCCAATTTAACACTTTGACCCAGAACGGTCGTTTTTTCTCGAGCATGTTTCCGCGCCAGCGAGCAGATACGATACAAATGCCTATAGTCTTGGGCCAAGTAGGGTCTTCTAAAATCTTAATCCTCGTCGCTATGATCGAAGCAGGGCAGTCCACGCTCATGGTAATAATATGCAAAAAAGAAGAGAAGAAGAATAAGGTGGGAAAGGGAGGGATGCCATTGCGCTTTGCCCTCTCGGACCGGCGGGAAACACGAACATGAACTCTTTTCAAACCCATGACTCGTCCCTCTTTCACTGCTCCCTCCCTGAAAACTCGTAGCCCTCCATCCAGCCGGCAAGCTGATCCAATTCACAGCTGCCGCAGCGCAGCAGCAGACGTTGGGTGTACGGGACCTGTACCGCGGCTGCCGACGATGATGTATTCTTTTTGCCGTCCGTCTGGACCAAATCCGCGAACCGGGCATCGCTAAGGTAGTCCTTGACACGCATCTCCTCGGCCGGCAACGAAAACAGGCTGGCGTTCTGCCTCGTCACCTCCTCGATGCTGACGTTGTGTTCCCGCTCAATCATCCGCTTCCCGATGTAGTGCAGCTCATGTCCCTCGCCCAGCGTCACGGGCTCCCGCCTTCCCATGGCGAGTTCCCACGCAATGAGCCACGCCTGGTACCGTATATCGAGCCAGCGGCATTTAACAATTACAAACTCGACAAGGGAGAGGAAACTCGGTTTAAAATCGAATTGGAAATCGTCCGGCGTCTCGGGTGGCACGTCCGGGCAGCTGTCAAGGATCAACCGCGCGAGCACGACGATGCGCGCGAAATTCTCCTTGAAGCAGTCGTACACAGACTCGTCGTGGGACCGGCAGACGCTGATGCAAATCTTGGCCGCCTGGTACTTCATCTCCGTCTCGGCGCAGATGAGACCCTGATGCTTCGGCAGGGGACGGTCGCCGTCGGCGTCTTTGCGGGGGTTCTCGACAAAGGCGAGGAAGGCGGCGTGCCAGCGGTCGAGCGAGACGCAGATGTGTTTTTGCTCCTCGGACATGACGGGGCCCTTTGAGGCGAGGCGGGAGTCGGTCTGCGATCCGGGGTCGGCGGAGCGGATGTAGCGGATGGCGTCGAGGAGGATCGGGTCGACGGCGCGTTTGGGGAGGTAGATGCTACTGCTCTTGTCAAAGGGGCCAAGGTTGTACCTGGATCCCAGCCCGCCGAGGCTTCCTACGCCGCCGCCGCCGGTGCCGCCGCCGTGTTGGAGGTTGAGTGAGGGGAAGCCCGGTTTGTCGTAGTAGCAGAGCTGGATGATGCTGAGGCGGTGGAATTTCGGGACGATTTCGTCGAGGGTGTCTTGTTCCAGCTCGTCGTAGTCTACGTTGTTGAGGATGTTGATGCCGCTGGCGAGGTGCTGCATGGCGGCGTCGAAGCTCTTGCGGAGGAATTCCGTGGCGATGAAGAGGATGCAGCAGGAGAGGACGACGTCCACATCGTTTGGTTGCGTCATGTCGTCGTCGGGGTCGTCGCCGCCGGCTTGGCTTTGAGGTGATGTGAAGGGGTTCGTCGGCGTGAGGGTGTCTTGCCGGTCTGTTTCTGCGAGCTCTGGTATGCTCGAGATGCCTGGCGTCATAGCTGCCGGGGATTGGATTGCTGATGACGGTCCGGCGGAGGACAGGCTCGGGGATGAACGGTTGCTGGGTGATCCGAAGGACCTGCTACTGTCGTTTCGTATCGTCGTCGTCGTCGAAGTCGTCCTAGTGGTGGTAGTTGTTCCTAACGTCGTCTGGACATCCTCAAACCCCCTCTCCGGCGCGACCTTGTTGGCCATCAACCGCAACGCCTTGCCATAATGCTCGTCGGCCTGCGGGTTCCCTCTCCCTCCATCGGCAGTCGTTGCCGTCGCCGCTGTCGTCGTCGCCGACTTTATCGTCGCTCCTTGGATCGAGTTACTCGGGGGTCCTCGCTGCGGGAAAAGACTGCCAATGGCAGCCATGGCATGCCTCACGGCGGGCTCCGACTTACTCAGGCGCGGCACGAGGTCGGACCAGAACTTGTTTTCAAAGTTCTGCGGCAGGTTGGGGGCGACGTCCCGGGCAAAGTACTCCACGGTGGCCTGGTCCGATTCGAATTCCCAGCCCGCCCTGGCCTGCGCGAGCGCGTCTCTCAGCCTCGTGGTGCGCGAGCGGGCGCGGGCGATGGCCCGGTTGCTGGGGACGACGACGGCGTAGCCCTCGCATTTGCGGCCGGTGCTGGTGCAGCGCGCGCACGCCGGTTTTGCTTCATCGCACTTTACCTTGTGTGACCTATTTGAATGGGAGAAGAGAGAGAAGTAAGAATGGCGAAAATGACTGAATGACGGAGGGAGGGAGATGTTCCTTTTTCTTCTTGAGGACGGGATTGTGAATGTGGGAACGGAGACGGAGACGGAGGGTGAGGCCCGGTGGCCGCTTGGTCACACACGCACATCACACACTCTCACATACAACACATTCTACAACGCGCGCACACGGTACGGCACACCTTACACACACCATATACATGTATACCACCGTACATACGCAGCCGGAGACGGGGCCGCTCTGCCAGTCTCGTCTCGGCAGCCGGCCCCGGTTGAAAGTTCCAGCCCCGGAGACAATCCGGAGACCGGCCGGAAGTCATCCGACTTTTTGAGGGATATAACACGTTCCGCCCGAGGCTGGGATTTCGGGCTGAAGCCAAGGCAGCGCCGCGCAGCAGCCACCCTCCAGATCGCCGATCAAGAAAGAAAAAGTCAAAGTGAAAAAAGAGGAAATATAGTACGAGAAAAGAAACTCACTTGCAAGTTAAACAGCCTGTGCGAACCTTTGGCTGGCCCTTCCGTGTCATTATGCCTGTTCCGCTTTGCTCTGCTCTGGTCTGGACTCTACCGTCCCGCGTGTGCTTGCTCCAGCTGGCAGGCGGGAAGGTTGAGAAGGTAAAAAAAAAACCCGGACCCAGGTCCGAGTACCCGCACAAAGCACGTTCGACAGCTCGCGGCAAATGCGTGCGGGATTTGGGTGTGTGTGTGTGCGCGTGTGGTGCAGGAAGTTTCCGAAGACCCGGAGGCTGCGGCTGCGGCTGGGGGCCTGGCGGGAAAAAAAAGAGGAGGAGGAGAACGACGGTGACGGGAGGCAAGGCTACTCTCTTCTGAAGATCTAGAAGGGAAAAGGGATAAGAGACAGAGGAAAAAACCAAGAGAGCAGCAAGTTGTTGCGTTTCAAGTTTCGGAGGGGCAGAAAATCAGCCGCGCCGATGAGGCCAGGCAGACTAGACGCAAGATGCAGGTCGCAAGGACGCAACTGGCCGAGGCTGAAGGATGGGTGAGATTGGTTCGTGTCTGTCTTGTCTGTCTCTCTCTGTCTATAGGCTACCTGCTTAGTTTTTCCTCTCCTCTGCCTCTTTCTTGTTCTCCTCCTCGTTCTTCTTCTTCTCTTTTTGTCTGCCCGCCCCCTTCCCCTCCGCCCTCCGGCCCCTCTCCCCCTCGACTAAAAGGTGACTGAGCAGCAAATTCCTGCCTGCGGCACTGCCTGGTCTGGCATGGTCTGGTTTCTTACCTACCTAGGTAATTCTGGTTCTGGTTCTGCTTCACCGTTCTGCTTCCTACGCGCAAGGCACAGGCACAGGCGCAGGCGCAGTGCGCGGCGTGGGTGGGCGGCGTGGGTGGGCGGCGCGGGTTGCGGTGTCACTCTTGTTCCCCTGTCTCTCCCTGCGTCCAGTCGACTACCTACAAAGTATTCTTTTTGGCTCTTCTCTGCTTGTGACTTGTCCTCAATTTGGGTCAAATTTGGGTGCAAATTTGGGGGCCGCCGCGGCCACCACCGCCGCACCACCAACAAGATGCGTTTCTTTACCAAATTGAATTCTTCGGGCTTCTCCCCTCCCCTGCACAGCTGCAGTTGTCACCTGAGGAGGACCTGGTACGCCTGTGCTTCCTATGGCCGATCCAACACGGCGCTAATTTTTTTGGTCACTTGGACTTGGCGTCGAGAAGACCGGGGGGAGGGAGGGGGGCGTGTAGTGTACCGTCGGGTGTTGATGAGATTGATGACCCAAGAAGGGAATGCGAGCGCGGCTGTGCCATGTTCAAGTTGTGTCTGTTGGACGGGGGTGGGATGATGACGATTATGCAAAAAGGACTTTGGTTCATAATTATCTCTTGTGCCTCTTACTGTGCCGTATTTCTACGGATAACTCTTCTTCTTCTTCACCATCGTCTCACTCTTTCTGCTCATCTAAGTTATAGAGAGAGTCAAGTACAGACACTCGAATCTTGACATTGATACTTTGGGGGGAACAGAATACCTCCGCCCGTTGCCGTCCGCCTAACAAATCAGACGATTTGATTGTCACGAGCTAAATTGTTAGGGCTCGGATAATGACATGAGCAACTAGCGTCTCTGGATTCGTCTGGATTCTAGGCCCTGTCAATGGCTCATGCTTCATGGTGTCGGGCTTCAGCTACGTCTGACAGCTGACCAATGAGACGTTTCTAAACCGAGACAATGGAAAAAGGAGATGAATGCAGAAACAATGCTCGCATTCTGCGCAACCAACCCTGGCCCCCCCGTCCACCCGTCCACCGGTGCGTTGCGGCGTTGGGCGGCGTTGCCTGTGCCGGCGAGCTATTTCGCGAAGACACCACGTTTCCGAACACCAAACATGCCTAAACTCATGGATGATGGGAGGGGGCTTCAGGCTTGTCAGGGAAGAGGGGAGACTAGGTAGGAGGGGCAGTCAAATGCGACGGATCATTGGCAGATGACTTCCCAAGCGCCTCCCTTTTGAAACATTTGTCGAAATATCGTTTCTTCTCTGACAGAGAAACTGCCGTAAACCTGGCATGTCTTGTCTAGTCTCGGGTGACACCGTGACTAGTTACAGATGATCCGCCATACTCGGTACACAGTAGGAAAAAAACGGCCTTTGGAACTTGATAGAATGGGATCAGCATTGGGGAATGTTTCACTCCAATCAAAAGAATTGACCCAATAAGCTCAGCCATAGACATTCGCACCAGCTGTGAAAACAACAGACAAGGGTCGGTTTTTGTGCCTGTAGCCCATAGATATAGCGTATCTCGCAAGCTGCGCGCTTCTCCCCTCCAAAATAGGAGTGCTCGGTAAGAAACCACATGAAAAAAGACCTAAGCTAAACCCGCCGATCTGAGCTTCAATCGCCGACTCACACACCCCCAAAATAGTCCAATCCTCGCGAATCCCATCTTCTCAAAATACTTGACACACCGGGGACCATTGGTCTGTGTTTCTCGGTTGACCCGAGTGGTGTCGGTGTCGGAAATTGGTAAATGAAATGGCTGGTGAGCCGAGGCAACTTCGCACTTTGATGAATAAGATCCCAGCAGCCGGTTTAGTCTGCCCAGGCAGGCGAATTACGTGAGAGAGAAACTCGAGCAAAGGCCACCTTTGCATCCCGATTAATTTCCAAAGAATCAAAACAAAGGAGAAACCATTTCCCACGGTCGAATCCTGATTCCTTTCGCAAGAATCCGTCAGCTCGTAACTGCGTAAGCACACTGATGGATCGTGCTGCAAGTGTACAAGTCATCAAAGAGGGAGTTGGAAGGAATGCAATTTGTCAACATGCCGAAGCCACAAGCGTCACTATGTTTGAGACAATTCCAGATATCATTTACCGACCGGTCTAACGCCAAAAATGGCTTGGCATGGGTATTGGGAAAACCCAAAAGTACATATAGAAACAAGCCCCTTGCTGTCTCTGGATAGCCGGCGGGATATCTCGACTTTTGTCACCAGACGTTGGAGCCTAGACGTCGCGAGTCGTAACCGCGATATTCGCTGCCCACTACCCTCTACAGCCTTTTCAAACATAGCCCACAATTTCGAGACGGTCTTCAACAATCAAAAATCCAAGACCCGCCTTGCTAGCTCAATCGGTAGAGCGTGAGACTCTTAATCTCAAGGTTGCGGGTTCGACCCCCGCGTGAGGCTCAAATCCTCACCGCGATTGACCAAGTCATTCTTCGGGCATTTCTTTTGATGGTTTTGATCATAAGTATCGAAATTGACAGAGCTTCGGGCACTTTTGTTTGACTTTTTGACCTTACGCTTTTGGCTCTTCTGCGTTGACGGCTTTTGACTTATGCACACGCCACTCGTCTGAACTAAAGTTGGAGAAACTCTAAGTTGGCCTTGAACTTAGAACCAAACGGGTATCGAACTATCGATGCAATGATTGGTCTCTGCACGATGCTCATCCATCTCATCTAGATAGCCCGAAAACGGCTGACAGACCAGGAGATTTAGAAGCTTGCTGTGGAATGGCCAAGTCGAGGCCTGCAAGAATAATGTAGTCAAAGCGCTCGCTGGAAACTTCTCTCCATGGTCTGCGAAAAAAGTATCTCATTAAAACAGTGTTTTCTTCAACGTGTCTAGACTCATCTCTTTCCACGACACATTCTCCTCTCCGCGTCACATTGGCAGTAAGGGGCTCGCAATCTTTCGTCTTCCACCTTCTCCGTCATGGTCGTCCAGAGCGATGGCTGGTCGGTTAAAGAAGCCCAGGCATCTCTCTGCCTTCAACATGGACGAAGATGGGTAGACATGGAAGCTTAAGGCTTCCTATTTCGTCGAGAGATATAGAAGAGACTCCATCGGGATGGTACCTAAACTCCTTGCTCAAAACTTGAACACTTCACTTCACTCCATACTAACATGCATCAAGCTCTTCCTTGCTGATTTCCTTTCTAACACAACGACATGAACCACGAACCACAAACCACGAACCAACAAAGCCATGCCGAAAATCGAGATCCTCAATCTGCCGTCAGAAGTACTCCTGGAGATATGTCAACACCTAGCAGCACCGATGCAAGACGCGTCCTCAGAACACTTGTACTGGTATTATTTCTCCATCTACAGCAGCGGCGTCATGCAAAGACCAAAGCTGGCCAAAGTCCTCGCGTGCGATGCACCCCTTGCTTGACTGATGCGGACGTGCAGAGCCATGCACTCGATGGCGGGCAACGAACTCTGCTCGTGCTACTACGACATGTTACCTGCAGCAGTCTTCCCAGACCTGTGTCTTTTGTTGGACATTCGAGTCCCTGAACGATTCTTTCGTCATCACCCGCTACCTGGGTAGAGCTTGAAAGATATAGAGAAGGACATCGCTGCCACTCTGAAAGGTTTGGATATTGCGAACAGGCTATGCATGCGTGTAGACGTTCACAACGACGTAACTACAGACATGAACTGATCGGATGAATAGCCTCGACGAAGAATGGACTACCAACGCCGCAAACCGCCTCGTTGTCTTTCTCAACTAGAACAATTATCGTTTAACTTAGAATGCGGACCGCAGGACCGCATTTCTACATTCACTGCCCACCTCCTCCTCGACTAAGGTACCTCCCCATTTTGACCAGCCTCAACGTCAGTCTAATCCATCCATAGAAATCCGCCCTTCCAGCGTTCAAGACCAACGAAACTAAACATAGCTTTCATACCGAAACCAAACACCCAATCACCCGTCTCGGGCCGATCGAGAACCGGAGCTTGCCAATTCACAACCATAATCAACATCGTGCCCCTTCTTGCCCGTTCACGAAACGTTCTCCTTCCGAATTCCAAGGGATGTTCGTCTCGAACACCTCCGTCACCTCTTCATCCTGCTCTACGGACCGCTGTCAGTCACACCTTCGATCTCAGGGTGGGGAAATTACTGCGGGGGAATTACTATCAATGACCTTGACGAATCAAGCACCGAGAACTTGGAGAGTTTGACGGTCTCGCGCGCAGAAGACTGTTTCGACGAGCTAATAAGAACGAGTCTGCCAGAGTTGTGCCGCGAGCTGATGGCTGGGCGGTTCAAGAACTTGGACGACATTGAGATCTTGCACCACGCCATCGATGAAGATACACGGTCCAATACAGCGCGCAGCTTCTTGAAGTTGTTCAGGTGGAAGATCCTCGAAGAAGTGTGTGGTCGGTGGTTCGAAGGGAAGCTCTCCAGGGTTGCTGATACTCAGATTTTTCAACCACGCGCAGCCCCGTACTTAGTCATAGGCGATCGATGGTCTTCATGAATTCGTTGAGAACTGTTCGCAATTAAGAAATAATAGACCTTGAACCTGGACTATGTCAAGCCTAGGGTGGTAAAGCCATCATGCTCTGCTCTTCATGAATGACTTGAATGCGTATGCTCATGGATCTCCACCGACTTATTCCCCGAAGCCGTCCCCCTCGACTCAAACATCGTCAATCCATGCTCCTCAATATCATCCTCCCGCCCCACCCCCGTACCTAACGACCGATGCTTCTTCCTCTTCATCCCCGAGCTCCCAATCGTCTGAATCGAACTATGCACCTTGGGCGTCTGATCCTTACCTCCGCCCGTGAACAGCCTCCTCAGCGTCGGCGCGCACCCGCACACAATCGCCAGATTCGCCTCGAGCGCGGTCCACACCCAGATGTTGAAGCCGTCCCATGTCAGGTCGTAAGAAGGGTCCTCCACATACAAAACTTCGACGCGGATGACCCAGTACGTTCGCATGATGCCCGCGAGCACGACGACGGTGCCGAGGCCAAAGAGGATGATGAGGCTGATGCGCTGGTTGAGGGGCATCTGGAGGCGGAAGAGGGTCGGCATCGGGAGGAGGTACACGGCGACGTCGGTGAGGACGTTTGTGATGCCTTGGCCTGCTAGTGGCGGCCATTCGGGGATGCAGTTTCCCCAGTCGGCGAAGAGGGTCCAGTAGTGCCATATCGGCCTGTAGTTGAAGTGTCTGTCAGTCTTTTTGCTATCTGAATGGGTCCAGGGTGAGAGTGTTTGCTTACATGCACTGCGTCCAGAGCACAATGAGAAAGACCCAGACGAGGGTGAAGACAAGACCGCCAGTCACCCAAGTAAGCCGTTGGAACCATGTCCCCGGTGCCGCGAGCCTCAGATAGCTGGCAAGAATCGAGAGCTTGGACAAGCCAGAGGCGAACAGGAAAAGAGTCTGCGCAGCCATGGAGATCTACCATAAATCAACCGTTAGAGCTACGCCTCTAAAGTCAATATCACGCCGAAAAGAAAACGTACCTGTCGGCTTTGCTTGATCAGTGACAGCGGAACATCCCATACATGCAGGTTCCAGCCGTATAATTCAGTGGCTAATCGCAGATTGTTAGCCTCAAGGTTCCTAATTGCCTTTGACATTGCCTTTGACAGCTTCAGATGAGGGCGAGCCATACCGAGAATGACGCAAATCGTGACGCCAATGCAGAATACCATGCCAGCAACCATAAGCCAGTCATCCCACCAGGTCTGTCGAATCTTGACAATCCTGATGTACATCCGCAGGCAGAGGCATATCATGGCGATGCCCAAAAAGACCATCTCGATGATGAGCAGCCCCGGCCCCCGATTCTCCGGGTTGATGTAGTTTGGCCGCGGCCAATGGATGAGCACATCGATGGGTGGGATCCTCATCGTGATAGAATCTCCGTTCCTGTCTCGGGCGTTTCCTAGCGATTTTGGATATTGTCGTCGAGAGACATAGGCAAAAGGCCTCAAAACCTTCCCCTCGGCCGTAAGTCTTGAGAGCGCCGTTGAAGATCAGTCGACGATTAGTAGTTCAAAGGTTATTCCATGGGAAGTGGCCATGGCTGATACTATTAAACCTCCCCTCGCCAAGCAAACACGCAGCGCTATCCTTCATTGTCACATCGCTTGGAGAAATGTTTTTTTTTTCTCTTCTCAGGGGCACACCATTCGCCTTGTCAGCGTAATAACGCTACGGGGCGGCTCCGCGAAAAAGGTGTCAAAGAAACAGTGTGTCTCAGACAGCCGGATGCATCTTCGACAAGGCGCGACAGGATCAGCACTAGGCAGTCCGAACCATGTGTTTTGGGTCGACGCCACACATGGGGCGTCGCGCAATCCTCCAGAAAACCCGAAGATCATGCAATCATAAGGGGGGCTAGCTCTCGATGTGACGCCCAGTCTTGCCAGCCTAGGCTGTGCTTAGACCACATCTAGAAATCTAGAATTTCGCGGCCGCATTCGACTCTCCCACATCGCAAAAGAATGACTACAAGGCGGCCGCTGGGCGTCGACCCGGACAAATGGCACGCTTCAATCTTTCTTTCTACCGGGCGGGGCTAGCCTCGAAGGCTTCTCGAACTTGCTCCTCTTGACTTGGTTCCAAAACATTGGGATAAAGCAGCCCGTCCTTTGCTCGTTGTGTACGTAATGGGGTTGGCTTTCTCAATCAACTTGTTGATGTCCAGGTGCTCCCATATCCTCCAGGAATCGGATCACCTTCTACGCCGCGTGGCAGCCCTACCGACAACACCAGTCTAATGACAAACACTCCATGTCCCGGCTCCTGACTCCTGTGTGCCCCAAGCTCGATGAAGATCCCCGCGCGCGTGTGGAGAAAAAGAGAGGCACAGACAAAGATCATCATGTAATGACTTGCAGCTCGGACGCTTAGGTCCAGACTATTGGCAGCTAGCGCGCTGGTTTTATTGGCAGCCCTAAAGCCTTGTGCCTGCCCGAAGTTTTGGGTTGAAGATCATTCTCTAGTACCTTTTTCTTGTTGATTTTTATGGCAGTCATAGAAAAAGCCGCAGGCGAATTCCATTCCCCGTTAGTGACTAGAGGGGTTTGAATCTCACATACGCTTCTTTGGAGTATTCGAGAGTCGAGGCCGATGAGTCGAGTGGTGCCACGTACCGCAGCATAAGATGCGGTCTCAACAGAGTCTTCCCCCATCTCGAGCAGGAGCAGAATTCAGGATTTGGAGAAATTCTTCTCCTTTTCCAAGACACCGATTGCGCTCCCGGTTCCCCGGCCTACTTCAGGGTCTGGTCGAGCCTGGCAAGCTTGGGAACGGCTTTAATTCCGACGTGCTGGGTCCACCGTCTAGCTTACTCCTGTCTAAGAAAATGTGAAATGAATCAACTGTCCTATTTGGACCTTCGCGGCGACGCCACATTCCCAGAGGTCCGGCAGGCAGAAGGATGGATCAAGTCCAACTGACTAATTACCCCAGCCTAACCCATTAGGCCCAAGAAAGCTCACCCTGGAACTTGCGCGATTCCAGACATGAGTGAAGAGTGGTACTCACGTCTGCTTTCGCGTGGTCGGTTGAATAATAAGGGAACTAGGCAAGTCCAAGCGCGGATGGTCGCAATCAGTGGCGACGGGGATATATGGCATCCATACGGAGTACGGCTCACAAAAAGCTTGGCTTGAGAGGGCGGATCAAGACTGGGCTTGGTCTCGGCTTCGGCCCCGAAATGTCGGCCCCATGCTTCGGAGCCTCCTCCGAACGTCAGGGAGAAATTGCTCGGCTACCCAGGTGCTCAAAGTAATGCAGGCCATGCATGGCACGTCACCTGGTGGCGTTTTCCCGGACTGGGGGATACTTTTTCCATCTCAAACTACTGATTGTTCAACCGATTAAACGTGCTTGTGATCATTTTCTTGTCCTACAGAATCTCACATTCAGTGTGATACATCCCCCTCAATACTGGAGCGAAGAGCAATGAGGAATCCAAAACCATGTGTGGTGTTTGCCATGAGTACAGAAATCTGTGCACTGGAAGAAACAAACAAAAAAGCAAACGCAACTAGGCCAATCATAATGGACGGATATGAGTTTCTACCCCACAAACCTTGAGCGACTTAATCGGGCACCTTTTGGCATCCCATCAGCTTCACCTCCTCATCCAAGGTCAGCGTCTGCTTCAAGTGACGATAGCCTCACAAAGGCTGATATCTGTGATTGTTCACTCCCTCTCAACAGCTGATTCCGTCTACCGGCTCTGAGCACCCCAATATGCCGGCGAGTCCTCACTACAATGCTCATCTTTCACGACCAGCCCCCGCAATGCTAACATAGCCTCACTCACACAGCTTTACAATCAAGTCGTCCTTTTTGGAGATTCACTCTTCCAATTGTCCTGTACGCCTCAAGATGGTTTCTCCTTTCAGGCTGCCCTTCAAGACCGTAAGGTGGCCTTTCATCATTCATTTTTCAAGCTGGCGGGTAGTCCAATGCTGAAATACACAACGAGCAGTCTGTATGAGGCGTCTCGATGTCATCAATAGAGGCTTCTCAGGCTACAACACGGCCAACGCTCTAGAAATTCTCCCATACCTCTTCCCACCACCTTCGACAACAACGCCTAAGATAGACTACATCGTGCGTCAAAACAATCTTTGAGCCTCCCAGACATCTCCATCAGCGATATTAATCTCTTTCAGCTAATCCTCCTCGGCGCCAACGACGCCTGCCTCCCAATCCCCACAAACAGCCAGCAAATCGCCCTAGACCAATACAAACAAAACCTCAAAGCCATCCTCACCCACCCCACCATCCAAGCTCACAGCCCCAAGATCCTGCTCGTGAACCCCCCTCCCCTCGACGAGATCCGCATGCTCGAGCGCGATCTCGAAAAGGGCCACGGCCAGGCGTCGCGCAACGCGGCCGTGAGCAAGACGTACTCGGACGCGGCGCTCGCCGTGGCATCCGAGGTGCCCGGTGTCGTGCCGATCGACCTCTACGGCGCCGTCATGCGGCGGGCTGAGCAGATGACGATCGGGTTTGGTCGGAGTAGTCTCCCACTTGGGAGCCCCGGAGGTGAGCGGGGTGGGCTGGAGGTTTTGGTGCCGGATGGGCTGCATTTGGGGGGTGAAGGATATAGAGTGCTGTTTGAGTTGGTGAAGCCTCACATTGGGCCGTTTGACGAGTCGAGAGAGGATTACCGGCATCCGGACTGGAAGATTCTTAACCCTGGTAGTTTGGGTTGAAGTGGTAGAGGGGCGCAGTAGTACCAGAGAAGTCTCTCCATATGGAATTCGTTCAGAAGATTTAAACAAGAAGACTTTGACATTAGACTACGACAAACTCAGCTTCAATACTCATGAATCACACCGAGCAGTCTCCTTGTGCGTCACTTCAACATGGGATCCCCTCAATCACTAATGCCTAGTTGTTCGTCCTTATTCAAAGAACATATCGGAACATGGGCTACGCTTAGTTAGCAAGTCACTCAGCAATCGATCCAAACACCAGGCATACTCACATTAGCTTTATCCGTCACGTCTTCGAACCCAAGCACCTCGCCCTCTCTCTGCATCTCCTTGACCTCCTCCTCAGACTTACCCTCCAGCATCCGATCACGCTTCTTATTCTCCAACACGTAGATGAAGCGCAGAATCTGGTTCAGGACTAGGTTGAGAATAAACCCGCACAGCATAGCCACGATGCCGCTGTGGTACGCGGGTGCCTCGGTGCTCTTGAAGAACTGCGGGCCGGCAATCTGCCCGACGCAGTAGCACACAAAGACCCAGCCCGAGGCAACAGATCTCTTCGTGCTGCCGGCGATATTGGTCGAGAGCAGGCCGAGGATGACCATGAAGCCGACGGGGTAGGAGCCAAGTAGCCAGACGCCGACGAGGCGGCCCCATTTGTTGTCTGCGTGGAGCTGGTTGATGAGGCAGGTTCCGATGATCTGGTTCAAAAGTCAGCGAAATATCAACCAATAGGACCGGCCAGAGCATACCGGAGGGATCATGGCGACGGTGCCGACGTGCAGTCTCGAACTCTTAATCTTGCTGCTCAAAAACCCGGCTCCAAGCTGCGTGACAACCTGTACGGTAGAAAGCGGCAGGTTCATAAGCGTCGTGTTGAGGGGACTGAATCCAAGCCCCTGAATAATCAACGACCCAAACGCCAATCCGCCCGACGCAATCGCATTCACAAACGAAATCAGCCCCAAAATAATAACTGCCGGGTCCTTCGCCGCTTCAAGCACCTGCGCCTTGACAAACGTCCTGCTCCGTCCCGTACCAGTCTGATTCTCCGCCACGCGCTGCACAGCAACGACCTTCTCCCTCTCCGTCAGCCACGTCACCTTTGCGGGCCCGTCCGGCACGAAAATCGTAAACACGACGCCCCAGACGACGGTCATGGCGCCCAGGATCAGGAAGATGTACTTCCACGGCGACAGCGAGCCCGTGATGTGCCCGATGCCGTACGCGAGCAACGTGCCCACAAAGCTTCCGACACCCAGGAACGAAACCCACAGCGCCGAGCGGCCGGCCTGCTCCTGTCTCGTCCACCACATTCCCGTGACGGCCACGAAGCCAGGCGATATGGTCGCCTCCGTGACACCCAGCAGGAACCGAACCGACGCCAGCCCCGCAAAGGAACTACACGCCGCAGTGGTCATGAGAATCATACCCCAGAGGACGATATTCACGCCCAGGAACTTGGCGACGGGGAACCGTTGGAGGATGGCGACGCCGGGGTACTCCGCGACAAGATACCCAAAGTAGAAGATGGAGCTGGCCCAGCTGTACTGCTGCCCGACGAGCTTGTTGTCCTTGATGATGCCGTAGACGGAGCTGTACCCCAAAGAAGTCTTGTCGATGAACTGCAGGGCGTAGGTGATGCAGAGGAAGGGGAGGATGCGCCTGTCGAGCTTGGCGAGGATGGAGCGGGACTCGGCGGCGTCGAGGGGCGCGGAGTCGAGGGCTGAGGCGGCGAGGGCGCCGGTTTCGTCGGTGATGTGGTGCTTTGAGGGGATGGCGTCTTCATCTAGGGGGCCGGTGGTGGCGGGGACGATATCCGCGAGGACCCGCTTCTCCGGGTCGGAGCCCGGGGTTTCGGTGGGTGCCATTGCGGAGTGCCTTACACTGTAAGGAGGAGGGGGAGTTTGTCAGGGACTAGAGAGAACTTGTGGGTTTACCGAGTCCCAGGTTCCTGGGTCGTATAGTGTATTGGCACGAGGATCCGGAAAAGAGAGTTTTCTCCTCCTTTTTGAGGTTCTTGGGAGCCCACGACTTCTTTTATCAATGGAACGTTGAACGAAGGCCGCGGGCTGGAGTCATTGGAGCGTGTGGGTCCTGTTCATCGGGGTAGATCCGACAATCGGCAATTCCATGTTATTTTTTCCAATGGTCTTATCTCGCTTGGGTGATTTCTTCCACTCGCCAGCCCCTCACCTTCACGTAGTGTGATGCCAGCGGCAGAATGGTTGCAGAATGGTTCATGTATCTGCTGACATGGATAAGGTCTTGTCGGACTTTGATCGCCCCTTTGCAGCTTGAGCCCCAATGTGAACTCAACTCCTTCGAGTGGAACACTGGTTCGCCAGCTTGCTGGAAAAGACACACTTAATAACGTATACCCTACGAGATACACCTTAAGATGCGAGATGCTCGTCTTTTCCCAACGGCCTTTCGTCCGTGTCTGATTTGTGGTCGTAATGCTTTCTTCCCTCGGAAAACTTGAACCTCTCCATACGGAGTATCCAAAGCGCAACCGGCGCACACTACGGGACCAAGACAGCCGATAACACTGGGTCGATAAGAACATGGGTCCGGCCAACGGGTAGCTATCTCCTGCGGGGAACAGCCGGTCCTCCACTTCCAGACTCCAAGCAGTCGCCGCCTTTACCCGGCGCACCATGCCAGTTTGCACAACGATGCATAATCCCTCCCAACAGACCAAATGAGGAAGCTCCCAAAAGACCATCACTGGTGAGCCATGAGGCGTTAGACGGCCAAGCGCCTTGGCAAGACGGTTGGTCTTGTCAGCCTCATCTCAAGAGGACCGCGTGTCTTTATCGTCGTCTTCATCCAAATTCATTCACGTTTGCGGATCAGCGAGCGCATCACCCATTCATCCAATCTCACGAAGAAAGGTGAGTGTACCCTAGCATCGCTCAAGCAGGTCGATCTTCGAGTCTATCTAACCACCTCTCTCAGACCCCAACCACAACCAAAATGGCCAAGCAAAAGTCAACGCCAGTCGCCTCGCCCGCCGCAGGAGCGCAAGTAGATGAGGCATCGCAAACCTCGCAGACCTCGCAGCAGGCGCAGGTCGCGGAAACATCGCCGGCGGAGAGGATACTAGCGCTTCTCATGCCCCCTCCTTGGGCGCGCCGCCTCATATTTGTCGCCCTAATCTTCTACATCACCCCGTTCCTGCTCACGCACTGGATCGAGACGTCGGCGAAATTGATTAGGATGATACGGACGTTGACTGGCCAGAGATGATTCTTGATTCAGGGGATGAAGAGATGCCGGGTTAGGTTGCTGGGTTTCATGGAAGTGGGTTGAAGAACTCTGCGGTCAGCAGGAAACTGCGCACTCATTCCGGTTGAAAAGAGGTTTGAGAATTTCGGGGCTTTAAGATGGAGGCATCGGAACTGCCAATACTTAATGGAAGCAAACTCGTCTTATTATGAGCTTCTCTGAAGCAAAGTCATAACGGAGAACCAAGCGACCGTCTGAGACATACAATCCAGCAGAGTTCACCAAGTACATTAGAAACACCAAGACACCTATATTTGAGCGAGATTTCATGTACCTCGCAATAGCTTCGATGCATGAGCGTATTCATTCTCCTCTTATCCCTTACCTGTTCTGAGGTACTGTGAAATGCGTTGATTTATGCACGACCAGCTTCCAGACAAGCATAACACAGCGAATACGCTAGCTGGAATAGGCAACTTGCATCGCATGGCATCCGCGGCCTCGGTACAGATAACATCAATCGAAACCCGGCCGGTGGTCGGAGACACGCCGCCGTTCGGAACCGTCTCTTCAGACGGCCCTCACTACGCAACCTCCTCTCGCCGGAACTCACTCACTCACCTACCTCACTCCCATCAGGAACAGTGCAGGCTCAACCCAACTACGACGCCTCTCACCCCAATCAAGGGGCACTTCAACCACCGGCTTGATCGACCTCATACTCATCAGCTACAGTGAAACTCACATCAACTCTTTCAAAATGGATTCATCAGAAGACGACTTCGTTCTCGTCTCCCACGCAGACACCCACCCCACATGCACCTCAACCTCACCTTGCTCATTAGCCCCAGCCTCATCCTCCCCATCCTCCTCAACACCACCACCACCACCGCCTTTCCTCGATGAAATCTCCTCCATCGTAACAGACCTCGCCGACGCACTATGGCCCGTTAACAAAACCATTCACGATAACCCGGAACTCGGCTACCGCGAGTTCATTGCCCACGACACCCTAGTGGCCTTCATGCGCACCCAGCCAGGATGGAAAGTCACCCCCTCAGCCTACGGCATGAAAACTGCCTGGGTTGCCGTCTGGGAAAGCGGAAAGAAGGGGCCAGTTGTGTCGTTTAATGTCGAGATGGGCAAGACCTCTCCCCCTCCTCCTCCTCCTCCTCCTCCTTCTTCTGCTCCCTAACTAACACCTCCCGACAGACTGCCTCCCAGGAATAGGCCACGCCTGCGGCCACAACCTAATAGCAACAGCCTCCCTAACAGGAGCCCTCGCAACCTCAACCCTCCTCGCCCGCCACGCCCTCCCCGGCAAACTCATCCTCTACGGCACCCCCGCAGAAGAAGGCGGCGGCGGCAAAATCGCCCTCCTCAAAGCCGGCGCCTACAACCCCTCCACCTGTCCCGGCACCGGCTCCCCCTCCCGCGCACCAGACATCAACCTCATCTCCCACCCTGGCATCGTCACCTCCACGGCCCTGATGCGCACCTCGGCCTACACCTCCCTCCGCCTCGAATATTTCGGCCGCGAGGCCCACGCCGCAGCGAACCCGTGGCTCGGCATCAACGCGCTCGACGCGCTGGTGGTGGCGTATACCTCGATTTCTGTGCTGAGACAGCAGACGAGGCCGGGGGACGTGATCCAGTGTAACATCTCCGACGGCGGCGCGCGGCCAAACATCATCCACGCGTACGCGGCGGCGAATTTCGTGGTGAGGTCGGATACGCAGCCGCGGCTCTCTGAGCTTTTGAAAAAGGTGCAGAAATGCTTCGCTGCGGGGGCGGAGGCCACGGGGGCGACGTTCAAAGTTACGTTTACGGGGGCGTATAAAGATCATGTGCCGAATCGTGTGCTGGGGCGTTCGTATACGCGATACTTCAACGCGTTACTGGGCTCTGGCGGCGACGGAGACGGTGACGACGACGCTCCGATCCCGACGGACGAAGACGTGGATGAGATTCGCGGACGGACGATGGCGAGTACGGATCAGGGGGATATCAGCTACGCCATGCCCTCCCTCAGCGTCGGCTTCGCGATTCCGCCTGGGAAGGGAGGTCAGGGCCCGCATAACCCAGAGTTTGCGGAGGCGGCGGGGACGAAGGTTGCGTTTGAGAGGAGTTTGCGCGTTGGAAAGGGGCTGGCTGGTGTTGCGGTTGAGGTTTTGACCAAGGAGGGTATGGTGGACGAGGTGAAGGCTGCTTGGAGGAGGGATATGGGGGTATGATGGGGGGAGTCTTTGAGATGGAAGGAGAATAGCGAAAAGGAGTAGCTAAGGTATACAGCTGAGGTTCTGTGGTATATACCGAGGTTGTTTGAAAATATATTCGTGTGCGTACTTCTGAGCACTCACCTTACATACCTAACCCAATATCAGATCGAATCATCCTCTAGCCTTTATTCATGACCTCATGTCCTCATGATTCAACAACAAACACCGGACCACTTGGTCGAGGGGTAGGGCTGTAGAGGCCCCGGTTACATGGTGAAGACTCCCATCTATTTCGGGGTCCATGTTCGAACCCTCGATCGGTCCATTCTTTTTTTCATATTTTGCTTTCTTACTTTCTGAGATGATGTCTGATCCTCTTTCCACGATCACACAAGTGAGATTTGTGGGCAAGCTTCTGGAAAGTTGTCCTCGTATCATAGCGTACACACACAAAGGTGTATATCCATCTACTCGCCTGTATCATATCTTTCAGCCTCTCCTTTACTCACACATCATCACAAGTTTCAAGCCCCCACGCAAAGCATCAGCACATCTTCTTGTGTGTAGTAAATGATCAAGGTGGAAAAATCATGATTGTACAAGGTCCTAGTACATCCCAACCCGTAGGTATAATAATACACGCCCAAAACTCCCCATCATAGTCAAGACACTCCGATATCAAAACATATCTCATAGTCATACCAACTGCTTCTCTTCCTCCATCCATCCCATTCCTGGGTAGACCTAGAGGGACAGACAACCTCAGACCTTCAGACCGTCGTCCCTACATCCTCTTGGCACCCATCTCCTCCGCCCCAAACTCATCCCACTCCTCCCTCCCGATCCTCCTCGAAATCCACACCCCCAGCCCAGTAACACCACAACTCGCCAAAAACCACCCCTCAAACCACCAATCCACAAACCGCGGCTCCAGCGCGCCCGCCAACGCATCCCCCACCGCGCTGCCCATCTCCCGCGGCAAATTGCTCCTCAACAACAGCGCCGCCGAAATCACATACACGGCCGTGATCTGCCCAATCATGAGCGCCAAGTTCGCCTGCGCCTGGTACAGCAACCCCGGCATCCACTTGGAGAACAGGTGGAACGTCTGCAGCACGCTGTTGGCGCTCGCCGCGAGCATGACACCCGACAACAGGAAACTAATCTGCCGCGCCCATGCAATCTGGTCCAGCGAAGGGTCCCAGTGCCGCGCCAGCAGGCCGAGGAACCGGTTGATCGGGTCCGAGGAACTGAAGCTCGAAGAAGGGTAATACGCCCTCCGCAGCGTCGCCAGCGTCGTCGCCAGGATGCGGTATAGGCAGTACAGCGAAAAGACGTAGTGCGGCACGGCGAGCACTTTCCCAATCGTCGTCGCCGCGCGCGCGTCCGCTGCCCGGCGCGAGCGCATCACCCCCAGCGAGGAATGCAAGTTCGCCTCCATCGTCTCGAGGCCCGTAATCTCCAGCCGCAGGGCGCGCATCTCGGCCTCGTCGCCGCCGCCCATGCCCCTCACGGCGCCGAGCATCTTGCCCATGAACCCGCCGCCGCCGGCCCCCGAACTCGAAGACCCGCCCGACTGCGCCTCGGCCGCCTTCCGCTCCAGCGCCTGAAGCCGGTGTCGTTTCGTGAGGAGCATCTCGTTGGTGGCATCCAGCCCGGCCTCCTTTCTCGAAACATCCGCCTCCGTAACGGGCCTCTTTCTCCGTTCCGACACCGCGCCGAGGGTATGCCACGGGCTCGACACCGCCGCGAACCCGCTCAGCATCGCCATCAGCGAGATCCCGATAACGCCGATCCTCTCCAGACAAGCGCGCAGCACCCCGCCGCCCGCCGTCGCCGTCTTATCAAGCCCAACCAACCCGCCCAAGCTCCAAAACGCAAACACCCACCCCCCGAAAACGAGCATCTGCACAGCCCACGCGAACCTCGGTATCCTCCCCTTATTATTCCGCTGAAACTTCCACCCGGCGCCCGAGACCACGCTCTGGATCTCGAGAAACGGAATAACACCCACAAGCAGCACAAGCAACGTCGGCACCGTAACCCTCAACCCGACCTCCCTCGCGCGCCTGCTCACCAAATCCGAAATCTCGCTCAGTATCAACTCGCCCAGCACCGTCGCCAGCGCAATCGTAACACTAAACACAGCGGCCGCGACGCGCCGCCGCGCGCTCTTTTGTCCGTGTTCGGCGTGGGCCTGGCGCAGGCTCGGCGGGGCGTGGGAGGGGAGGTAGTGGTCTTCCCCATCGTGGGCGTCGTGGACCCTGGCGAGTTTGGGGAAGATGGTCTGGCTCGCGAAGACGGCGACGGCGGCGAAGGTGAGGAGGAAGGGCAGCAGCGAGAAGAGCAGGCCGACGGTCGACGGTGCGTTGGGGTCTACGGCGGCGCAAGCGGACTCGTCGCAGGAGGCGGTGGACCAGAACCAGGGCATCTTGTTGGTGGTGATGGTGGTGGTATCGTCGGTAGTGGGGCGTCGTCTGCGTTTGCGCGCGAGCAAAGGGACATGTGCGATATGTATCCGTAGCCGAGCAGAGCAAGATTCATCCTATGTCTGCTTCTCGATTGTTGAGTAGGATGAAAGCAGGTGTGGCAGAAAAGAAAACAGACTGGTGTCCTTAGCGAGGAATTAGCATGGCTGTCTTCGACATTGTTTGGTATGCGTTGGCTGGCTTCGGACAACCGTTACAGTGCGACGGCTGTGACGAGAAAATAAGGGCGACATTGGATTCGTAACCTTTGTGTCGGACTTGGGGGGGGGGGGGGGGCCTTCAGCCACACGACAACCTGGCCTCAGCTCTCCACTATGAAGCTCCGGGGACTTTTTTTATTTGAGCTTCAGCCACATGTCTTTGCGCCACACTTTGTACCTCCTGGTTAACTTTGGAACCTCAGAAGTCTGGAACATTGGAACTCGCCCACCTTCGTCAAGAGCAGCCCCGCAAGATGCGACGGAGCGGCCAATGGACACCAGGCAAAGACTCACTCAAGACTCAACAGCCCCATGAACAACAGACGCTGTCACAAAAAGATGTACGTCACACCACCAGAAGCTGTACGGATAACGCAATAGAATTTCGGCCAGTTTTGATCATTTCAGTCTCTTATGGGTATCAATCCACGGGCTCCATGCAGAGCAGGAGGTTTTAACAGCTACGCCGACTACCTAGACAATCCTCCCTTGACACTTCCCTTCGTCTCCGCACACACACCACAACTACGGGATATGTCGTCCCAGCAAACTGAAAATGCCCACGCTATCGACCAAACGCCGTCTAATCCCACACATGCTAGTTCGTAACCCTACCTGCCTCTCCATTCGAAGCCGTGGGGCTGCTGTATCAGCTGTTGCTGCTGTGTCGCGAGGCTTTGGACTCCTCGTCTTCGTCATCATCTACTCCGCTGGCGCTAGAGTCCAAACTCGACTTTCGTTGCTTGAGGGCTGCCGCCTCGTTGGCCTCCATCTTGTGGAGCTTGTCCATCTGCGACGAGTTGATAAGCTGGTCGCCAGAGAACGTCTCGAACTCGTCCTCATCATCGTCATCTTCCTCATCGCTGTCGCCCGCTGCACTAGGCGGGGCGGATGATCTACCCGTGCCCGCGCTACTCGTTTGTGCGAGATTGGATGGCGCTGATTGGTGTCTCGGATGCAGAAGAGCATTGAGGTCGACTGGCTTGATAGTTGGGTCAAATGCCGCAGGCAATCCTAGCGCTTTGGCGACTTGATGTGCCTCTTCGTCCGCCGTGTTGTGAACTTCCACTTCATACATGCTGCTTCTCTCGCTGTCGGCCTCGTGTTTTCCGCCTGTCGCTGACAGCATCCTGACATAAGTCTGCCGTTCCGTATCGTTCTTTCTCTTATTCTTCTTCTTCTCCCGCTTCTCCGTCGGGCGGACGACGACAACAGGAACAGGCGAGTACTGCAAACAGTACTTCGAAAAGGAATTGCGCGTATTGACCAGGCCTTGGAGGCCACCGAGCGACCGGCCCCTCGTGCCAACGATGAGCATTGCAGGCTGGTGAATTTGGATCTGGGACATGATAATAATTAGCGCCTACTCCACTGCCGTGCGCCAAGACTGCCGCGTCACATCTTTCTACTCACCAGTCGCTGGAATGTCGCATGGAGTTTTCCACTCGCGTACTCCAGTACAATACTGATGGCTCGGTTCAGGCCGTTGCGCTTCAGGATGCCATCCATGACCTTCTTCGCCTCTTCCTGGTATATTTTGTTCGTTTCGGCGGCTCGTAGCTCCTTCTCAATAACGCGCACACAGACAACCTCATCTCCGTCGTCGACTAGCTCGTCGAGTAGCCACTGCAACGCATAGTCGGAGTAAGCATGCTCGTCGACGCCGACCATGAAGGTGCGCGATCGTCGTTGCGCTTGGTACCCCCGGTGACGGACATTCAACGTCAGCGAAAGCGTGTTGTTCTTAGTCGCCTCGCCCAAAGGAAGGTTGTCGAATGCGACATGTGACTGGAACCTGTCAGGCAAAGAGGGTTGAGTTAGTGTCGCCATTAGGTAACGTTGTTCCGAGCAATTGGTAAACGAAAAGACGCAAAAGGGCGGATGAGATGAAGTGTGCTAAGAAAACGTTGAGATCTGGGGATGATGAAGTGTGGAAAAGCGACGAGACCACTGGCCAGAGTCAAGAGGGGTGGAAATGAAAAAGGGTCGAGAGGTCGCGATTTGGTAAGAGGCAGCCGGGATCCAGGACAAGGACTGGGCGGAAATGCGACAATGACAGCTGCTTTCCCTCCTGTCAGGTCCTCCTGCGGGGGACGTCACGGTTGCGCCAGGCTAAGGGTGGCTGTGGAGGATGAGTCGATGAGCGCCCACCTCCGCCATTTCCCCTTCTCTTTGTGAACCCAAGAACACCGTAAAGAAACAGCTACAGGCGCTACAGCGGGGTAGTGGGGCAAAGACGAGTGATTCTAGCGAATAACAGTAACCAATGCGTCATCCAGAACCGGCAAGGTCGCTTTCAATGAGGTGTCGTGTGATCCTCCTGATGGCATATTGCAGCCCGATGAGTGAGGCAAGATATGGACCGCAACGCGACATGGACTCAGAGTAAAAAACAGATGCGTTTGCTGGAGTTGCCGCGAGACGCTTGAAAAGTTCGTCTGACCTCAAGGTTGAAATGCTCAGGGGATGCCTGTTGGTGACAGTACTTGCTCATTGTAGTGATGCCGGCGGGATTACTCGGAAACTGGAAAATATGGGGTGCCATAACAGGCACGAGGCCGCCGATGGCCGACTGGTCCGGCCCCGCCATCCCGATCCTGACGCTGGAGTCGGCGCCCGGAGGAGGCTTCCTAAGTAGCGACGGCTATGCCCATGCATCCTAGGCGCAGGGAGTATCTGGGACGGAAGCTGAGAAACGGAGTGGAGACCAAGACGGCTGCGGCCGACGAATCGTTCATCCACGGGCGAGCGAAGCGACCGGAACTGCGGCATGGCTGCGGAGAAGGTGGCCGTCGTATTGAACTCTTGATCCGAGGCTTCCGGCCTAGTGGAGGACTGCAGAATCCACGCATGTAAGGCGAAACCAACGCCAGCATATAAGTTGGCCCCGAAGCCACACTGCATCTGACCCAACTGCATCTGCCACCGACGTACTTACGTCGAGTTGACCCAGATGTTATCTGTCCAGCTCCACGACATCGGATACAGACACCGAACCAAAAAGCGTCACGACCAAAGCTGCCACTTGCAAACACTTGGTTGTAAAGGGGTCGCGAATATGGGGGCAAAGAAATGGCTAAACGATAGGAATGGGGAGTGATACGCTTACCTCTCAGGTGGAGGCGATGAGGCCCTGATACGCTCCTTGTTCGTCTTCTTCTGGTTGCCCTGCGGCAGCGACGGGTTCCGCAATGGCGCAAAGCTCAGCGACGCTATTGATGATCCTCTCGGCCTTCCTCCATACGATTCGGTCCGTGACGACTCGGCAGAGAAGCTTCCTGTTGCGCTTTCGAGGGGGGAAGGGCTTGCGAAGCTCGAAAGTGTGGTCGCACGGCTCAATGGCTCTGCATCGTTGGCCTTGGTTTCCTCGTCTTTCTTTTGCGACTGCGCCTGCGACGAAGACTCAATGGAGAAGTAGTCCGTCTTTGTTTGGTCAGAGGGTTGTATCGGAGTCTTTGGCGAGACATCGGAATCGGGGCTTTGGACGTTGAGCATCGAACGGGGGGTTGGCCCAGACATGGTGTGCCGCCGTTCTGCCGCCGTCGTCGGTGCCGCCGTCGTCGTTGTTGTCTTGGGCTCCCACTGGAGTTCTGGAAAGTGAAGTCTCGGTGAAGATGGCGAGGAGTTGCCTTTGCTATTCTTCTTTTTCTTTTTGGTGCTTTGCGGAAGCAAGAATACGCTACGCCAATTTTCTGATGGTTTCATTGAAGACTGTACAGCTGCTGTGTAATCAATGTCAGCATGAGCGCAGCGGCAAAGCAGTCGTCCCGTTGGGAAGGAATCGGGCAGATGCGCTAGGTTGAACAGAGTCGCTCAAAGCCTCGGACGGGATATGTGCAACGAGCCTGTCTTGGAAGGGACAAAAGGGCAACGTGTAGAAGATCAGAAGGTAATTTGCGCCGAGGTGAGTGGCTGATGGTGGACTGACCACAGCGTCTGAAAATGGAAAGGAGCGTCTGTCGACTGATAGTTGGAACGTGGAGGTCGAACGGTGACAGTCAGGTCAGAGCGTCTCGTCGTCGAATATGCGTGGAGAGGTAGGTAGGTATGCGTAAGTGGTGAGGGTGACCTTATCGATGGAAATTGGATGAGCTCTTGTTCACGACAGGATTCGGCTCTGGGTACGTATGCTGCTTAGTTGAGTTGTTTGAGGTTTGTATGTTTCTTCATCGGTTGTTCCTGAAAGTAAAAAGGGGATTGACGAAAAAGATGTTCCGACAAGATGATATGTGTGTCCAACAATGCCAAGGAAGTTATGTTTGCAGCCGCACGCCGTGGTCTTTGAAGAGACGGAGCTCTCTCTTATGGCGAGGAAGCACAGCGTAGGAGGCAGTTCCGCCAAGACCTGCGGGGCCTCACAAGGCACAGGGAAGCGCGAGGATGGTGTTGCTGTTGGATGGGAAGCCGAAGAACGGGGTGTGGCGTAGACGGTAGCGCAACCGGTACGAGTCGAGGGTCGAGGGTCTGGAGTCTAAGTGATGACAGACCGGGTCGGTGAGCAGGTGATGTTGTTAGTTGACCAGGATGACAGCTGTTGCTGGTGCCGCTCAGGTGTGTGGGAAATGGGGCGGGAAAGCGGCCGGGGCAACAGAGCTGAGAGCTTGGCTAGCGGGTGGTAGCAGTAGAGTAGAGGGAAAGCCGAGGAAGGACTTTATCTCGGTCTCTGACTCTTTGGACACGACGACGGGCTTGAGGTGACTCGAGTAGGTAGGTAGAGAGCTACCTAACGGTAAGGCATCCGTGAGAAGTTGGTAGACCCGTTGCAGTCCAGGCGGCTGGATGCGGGGGTGGACAAAGTATATCCTTGAGACCGAGACTGGCATGGAATGGGCAGAGAATGAGACAATGCAGCTCGAAAAGAAGCTCAGGAATGGGGTTGGAAAAGTCTGGGCATGCGTGGGTTGTGGTGGAACAAACAGACTGTTTCGGTACTCTGTCGATATTCGTAGCAGCAATTCGGAGAGTAGAGCAAGGTAGAAGAAGGAGGCTCGAGGTTGTGGAGGACTGGAGTAGTCTAAGTACGGTCTGGGCCTGAATGCGAGACGCTCCGCTTGTCGTGTTTGCTCTGTTCTTCCGTGTTCCTCTCTTCGTCCTGGCAAGGTAGCTCTCGAGCTTGTGCAAATTCTCGAGAGGGTGACGGCGTGACGCACAGCTCCAGTGAGAGTTTTGGAGGGAGAAGAGCAGCAATGGGCACCAAAAACAGGGGTTGGCGATGGTTGATACCCTGGTCGGCCAGGGTCGTCTCGGCTGGGGGTTCTCTTTCGCGGTTGAGATGGTGGACGGTGGGCCAGGTAAATGCGCACACCTCAGGCGGAGAGGAGAGGCACTCGAGTCGAATCTGAGTCTTTCTGCTTTCACACCCACTGCTACGAGGCTACGGAGTACAGCTGGACGGAAAGGTGGAGGAGGGGAGGAGAGGGGCTCGGGAAGCTGGTGCAATGCGGTGCAAGTGCGCAGGGATGAGATGGCTGGAGATTTCGAGTTTGTTTGATGCCGTTGGCCAGGCCCAGAGAGAGTCGCGACTTGTGTGTGCACCGAGATTTGCCGGTGGGTTATGTACCCCTCTCCTCCCACTCTCACAGTTACGGTCAACGTCTTCCTTCCTTTGACGTTTACTACCTTACTAAGGTACCTTCCAGGTTGCTCCTGCCTATCTGACCCGAGAAGATGTATACATAAGGTATTGAGGTACTTGAGTTACAATGGAAGGTTGATTTGATCCGATCGACGGAATGGACGCCGCTGATGGACGTAGGTACTTTAGACATGTAAGGCAGGAAGAAAGGTACTTTGGATGAAGGGGAAAGATGGAAGGCAGAGACGTGACTTCCTCGGCATGCCTATCTCACTCAGCTGAACCTTCCTCGGAAAAGGAGAGTGCAGGAGCTAGGGTCACCCACAGGCACCAGCTGCATCAGCGCTGCACCTGCTGCACTTGCTGCACCTGATGTCAACTCGATGGGTTGCAGCTTCCATCCATCTTGGAAAGAGCCCCCGGTGCATCTTGTTCCTTCCCAGTTGCCAGGTTCCCCAGGCTGAGTCTTGAATAGTAGGAAAGTGCCAAAGTGACAAAGTGCATGCCTTTTTTCCTTATTCGCATGATTGCAAGCCTTAATACCTTGCCTTAGTAATGCATATTGGACTTGCTCTTCTTCTTCAACCATCAGGCCTGTGACGATTTCTTCGCTTCGTAATCAGACGGCGAGATTCACATCCCCACGACAGGCTACAGATGCCTTGGACGGAATACGACAGCCTCAAGACCGCGGCCTCCGAAATTTCCTATCACGCCGTCTTCCAACACCTACACAAGCACAAGCACAAGCACCAGCACCAGCACCACCGGACCCAAAATAACACTGGGAACACCACCCCAAACTCGCCAAGACTACCCCAAGTACCGAACCCAATCATCCTCTCCGCTCCACGGCGCCTCTAATGCCTGAGCTGGCTCTAATTACACATCAAGACTTCCAGCTTCGCTTTCAAGCTTCTCGGCTCCCTTTTCCAAGCACCCGCCGTAACGCCCACCCCTGCTGGCTGTCTTGACTCTTACACAGTAGGCTCCCTGGCTCCCAAGGCAAGTCACTACGGCTTACTCTGTACAGTAGTCCCTATCCACCAGAGACTCTCCCTCCAATACCGTCCAGCACAAACACAACGAGACAGACTCTGGATGAGTCGCCTTTACGGGTATCCCATCTTGAACAGACGAACTGGCCGCCGCCGCTGTTTGCGCTCTCTTGCCACATTACTGCTCGCTGGCTCGCTCGCCGTCTGCCCGTCCGTCGCTGTAATGACCTGCAGTAACACGACATGGCCTTTCCCCTCGCACGCAGCCGGTGGGTGTGCATCATCTCCGTCTAGACTTTCCAAGCACCATGATAGTCCTACCCAAACATTTTGACGTGCTGTAGTCGGATAGAAAGTCCAATTTACCTTTAGACTTCTTTCCTGGGTACTTGGAGACTTCTTATTCGACCAGCACCACCTACCTACGTCTCGATCCCCTGCGGTGCCTGGCCTAGGGATCAGGGAGCAATTTTCGGAGACGAAGTCTACGACTGTACTCACTACTCCATACGCAAAGCTCATCGTTGCCTCCGTCATGTTCATATCATACCACGCCTCCGTGTCACAACCCTCTAAAAGTCCAGAAATCCCACCAACGTGGATGGCGCCAGGCGATAGCTGAAGGTACTGCGCCAAGCTATCTAACGCATCTGGCGGTAGTTCCCAAGGGTGCTCATCAATCCTCTATCAGCTCCGGCGGCAACATCCTCCAAGCTCAGTCTGCAGATACCCCGTCGCATACGGGTTGGGTTCACACCAAGCAACGGAACCAAGAATCATACGCTTCCTTCATCGTTGTCGATGCACTCTCACGTCTGCCCAGCCGGCCCTCCGTGTGCTAAGACTGTAGCCTTCGCCGCCTTCACTCGACTCTTTGCAACTTCACCCCTCTCTCCCGCCCTCTCGGCCACTCGTCCACCTCCAACAAGCTCTTGGCAAACCACTAAGGCACGTCGGCCAATCTTGATTCTTCCCCCGATTCCTGGCAAAAGCGAAAGAAGAGAATCAGAACAAGCATTCGAGTCGGTGTGCGCGCGCCGCTCAAAACTGCTAACTCGCCTGCGAACCTTGCTTCTTCTCATTTCTTCTCGTTAATGAGATGGCATGCTTCGTCTCTGGGCCCCGGTCCGCGACTTTACAATGATTCGACCCATCCAATTCAACCCACACTTCGTGCCCAACCAGACGCCAAGCGAGAGCCAAGCCAAGCGTATCTCTTTGCCTTTCTTCCGCAACCCTTTCGTTTCTCTTTCACGTTTGTAAGACAGCCCAAATTATTAGTCCGACGCCTGGCTCGATCCCGTATTGGAAATGGGGACAGCGGCTCATTCCCGTAACCTCTCTTTCGGCGCTCAAATCTCTTGGCCAGGACCCATCAATGTCGCAGGAAGCCGTCTAGGTCGCAGGGATACAATTTGAGGGGTCAGCTAGACCACACTGCGGATACACGCTGCAGACGAGACAACGACGCAAGCCTTGGGAAGGAAATAGAGAACAAAAGGGGATGCACTCCCAAGACACCAAGCCGGCAGGCACAAGCGGTCGGGAAAAGAGGGAGCCCATGCCAAGGCGAAACGAAGACAACGTCCACTATTTTGCCTTTCCACGCCATTCGGCACCCATTGCAGGCTGCAATGATGCCATTCGCAGCCCATTCTCCTGCCCAGAATTCCGTCCCGATCTTCCGGTGTTGCTTTTGCGGTTTGGCCTTGAAATCGATAGCCTCTCCGCTCTTGTTCATGTATCCATACCACTTCTCACCGACATGGTCCCCGCTAAAACAGGAATCGCCATATGCAACCTGCAGTCTCACCGAAGCAGACGGGCAAGGTCCCCTATCTGGCGCGAGCTGATGGACCACCCAAATCACTATGTCAAGCCACGGGGCAGGCAGGGGAAGGTGTATGCTCGCTATCTATCAAATATCAACTCGTCAATGTTGCACGGCACGGAGATCATGGACCATCTAGTAAGGTCGAAAACATGGCATACTCCCGCTGACATCGCCGTCAGTCAACGGAGGAATCAGCCGGAAATTCCGAGAGATAACAGGTTTCCAACAGCTCGCCAGAGGCAGCTCAATGTACTGAATTTATCGATGCGTCTCGATATCCCGCATTGTCGCATGTCGATTTTGACCTACATTGGATGGATTGTAAGGTCTGACAGGATCGCTTGCCTGCGGCAAATGCCAATGACTTGCGACGGCACGCATGCCGCAATGAAACATCTCGTCCAGCACGGCGTCCTGCTTGCGTTGTGCAGCATCCCTATCTGACGTTCAACCGACACCAACCAGGCAGAGCGCCTCATGCCGGCCAAGCCCATCGAGTGTACAATTTGGCAACCTCACCGCAGAAACCCACGCAGAATTCCACGATTGCTTGCGTAAGTTCAAACGTAATGCTGCGTACTGACTGACATGCATGCCGATCGGCCTGCAATAACCGAGCTCCAAACGTTCATCTTCCATGTTCTCGTGCCCGTTTGTCCCAGTATCCCAGTCACTGGTTCGGAGGGTGCTGCAAGACGGTCCAAAAAAGACGACGTCAAGCGCGACTCGTGATCCCAACTACTCGCTGCTCCGGACTCACATCCGTAAGACCCCAACAATCTTGGCAACCCTAGGACAGCCAGCATCACGCACCCACACCCGCACAAGCACGCACACAAGGCGAAATCTGACTCGCAGAGGACACAGCCAAGACACTAGAGCACAAGTTTAGGGCAGCTAGAGGGAAAAAACGTGAGACACCGTCCAAGATTAAACGTATAGCTCTAGTAGGTGGCACATGCTTGACTACCAGCCACTAGGGAAACGGGAATCAAGCTCCAGTTTCCTTGCGGACCATCCCGTCCCCGTCCCGACCGATAATTTCCCCGGTCTACCGACGCGGCTTCGGTACGGAGGCACTACCTATATTGGACTATACTCCCCGGCAGGCTCGCAGAGTGCTTGTATCCCACATCTGGGCGTCATCGTTGAGGTATCCTTTCCTCGGGAGGGGAGGGGTATCCATCGGTCGCTCCAGTTTGATTGAACAACCATATCTCGTTTTCGATGCATGCTATGAACTACGAGACTTTCTCATCGCCTCATGCTTTTCACTTTCCGTCAGCACCGTATTATCAACTACTGCCCTCAACAGCTCGTCGGGAAGTGTTTCATGCCTCCGAGGCAAGTGCTATAGTGAGAGATGCGATGCTGCCCCATTCGCGTTTCGAAGAATTTACTCCACTTCGGCAAAGAGATTCCTCTCGATAGTGGTTTCCCCCGACCAGTTTTGTGCGGGCAACGTTGCAACCTTCCCCGGACAACCTGCCCTTGGCATACACCTTGTCCAGCTTCCTATCAGGTTTGACTCCCGCAAGCCTAGCGGGGAAGCGGGCAGGTCGCTGCAGGCGTATCGCGGGAAACATTGAAAATGACGATCATCAACTTTGCATATCCGCAGCGTCTCGATACTTGTCAAGAGAATCGGCGCATACTGAAGAGCTCTTTTTGTTGCCATTGCTATTTGCTGGGGAACCCTGCCTTTGACCACCGGGCGATGATCTGGGCGGCTCGGGTCTCAACGACACTGGCTGACCTGGCTCCCTTCAACGGGGAGAAGTCCTAGTAATTTGACTATGTTATTTAGATCATCTGCTACCGACTTTGGATCCGTTAGCACACGGGCTGCTGTCGCGAGTACACTGGCCTCGAAGAGCTTCGGATGGACGTTTGTACTTTGAATTCTAATTATTCCCCTTGGTTCACTTCATCCCGCCCAGCCAACCAGGTCCAGGTGTTCCAGGAAGCAAAGACGCCTGAACGCCATAACAATGCGAGCATCCCTCTATCGGGCCCTCCCATTTCTTCCCAAGTGCTTTTTTGGCCACTTCTCTCTGCCCTTTTGTCTTTTTTCATCCTCGTCACACCCTCCGACCTCGAATCCACAGGTAACGTCAAGTGGATGAGGGTGGGAGTTTCCACCACCTCTCGTTGGCAGATTCCTGGGAACTACACGCATTCGCATATTGCCATTTTACCAACATGCACACAAACACCCCCCGCCCCCTGGTAGTTTGCTACCAGCCCGTTTCCTTTTGTCTTCCTCTCGGCCAGCTGGTCGTCCATCTTGCCTTGCTGGTTTTATAGGGCCCGAAGCATATCCTTTACGATCGCTCAAGCGTACGTGCGGGACAGGTTGCGGAGGTACCAGTCGACCAGCTTGCGGCCAACCTTGGCTTCCGAGATGTGGATCAGATCCTACGATGTGATGATTAGCATGTTGTTATGGTAACAAGCAGCTCGTATTGGAAGCTGCAGTTTCTCGGAATTACTTACACCCTGCATAGCGTAGTCCAGGTCGCTGACGTTGATGAGGTCGCCGTCCAACAGGCTGGGGTGGTCAGTCCAGCGTAACTGCTTGGTGCGCTGCTTGTTGACGAGGAGCCAGGAGCGGAGCTCATCGGGCTTGACCTCGAGGAAACCGGCCAGCTTGTTGAGGTCCATGGTGGTGTAGAGGCGGAGGTAGGACTTGACGGTGGGGCTCATCATGTTGATCTTGACCTCCTCCATGAAGACGGCGAGGTGGTGCTCGACGGGGTCGATGTTGGACTCGGGGTTCTCAAAGTCTGGGGGCACGGGGGAGATGAACTTGGGGCAGGCGGAGCGGAAGAGCTCCTCAAAGATGGGGAGGGACTCGGGGCCGCCGCGCTGGAGCTTGAGGAGCTGGTCGCCATACTTCTCGCGGAGGGCTGAGTGGATGGTGTCGTCGAGGCGGGTGGGATGGAAGGCGACGCAGATGGCGATGAGGGCGTACATCTGGTCGTTCTTCTTGGTGATGGAGTCGTACTGGGCGTTCTTTTGGAAGTTCTTTGTGCGGGAGACGTAGACGAGGATGTGGGAGAACATCTTGATGGCGTCGGCGTAGCGGTGCATCATCATGTAGGAGAAGCCGACGTAGTAGTAGGTGGTGAAGTGGGCGGCCATGACGCGGGCGAACATGGCCTTCTTGTTGAGCTCAATGTCGTCGAGGGTCTTGAGGGCGAGGCTGAAGTCGCCGAGGAGGCAGTGGACGCGGAGGAGACCGATGATGGAGAAGTAGCCCAGCATGCGGTAGAGGTTCTTGGAGCCGTACTCGCCCGCGACGGCCATGGGGTCCTCGTTGCGGCGCATGGCGGCCAGCTGCTCGGTGATTTGGGAGCGCTGGATGAGGGAGTAGAGGACGTTGAGGACCGAGTAGCAGCCCCAGGTGTTTGGGTTCTCCTTGAGGACCTGCATCTCCTCCTCGTTGTTGCCCTGGCGGGCGATGCGCATGCGGTAGGACGAGAAGGAGTTGAACTGGTAGATGAACTCGTCGATGACGTCCCAGGCCCAGTAGTACTATTTGAAGACATGTTAGCTTGCCTAGTCCACGTGTGGTGATGCTATCGCGACGGCATAGCTTCGGGTGGAGACAGAAGCAAGGAGTCTATGGGAAGCTTACCGAAGGGGGCTCGAGGTCGACGGGACCCTCGCTGTTGAGGATGAAGTGGAACAGGCTGCAGTAGGAGTCGTAGCTCTGGAACTTGACCTCGAGGGGCGCGGAGAAGTCGAGGGGCTGGGCGGCGGCGGCGAGGCGCGACTGGATGTCGTCGGTCTGCTGGGCCATGGTCAGGGAGTTGACCTGCTCGAGGTCCTCGCCAATGTTGTCCTCATACTGGACCTGCTCCTTGTAGTCGTTGACGAGGGCCTCCTCCTCGACGTCGCTGTCGTCGTCGACGCGGACGGGCCGCTCTCCGTTTTGATAGCCGCTCATGGTGGGTGGATTTTTCGGTGAAGACTATTCCCACACGAAGATGTGTTAGGAATAGAAATTGAAAAATAGAAAAAAAAATTGACGAAGGTTCCGAAAGAGGAAGGGCGCGCGAAAAGTTGGCGATGTCTTCAACCTTCGAAGGGGAGTTGGGAGGACAGATGGGCGGTCGGGTCGGAGGGGGTTCGCTCGAGAGGTGTGGGGTTTTCGGGCGGACGAGTCGAAAATTTCCTTTTCGCTGGCTAATCCCGCGGGGGCTTTTGCTGAGGTTATCACAGGCACCGTTTGGGTTTGGGAGAGAGGGGCCAGTGAATTTTTGGCGAGTTAGGGTTTGTTGCACCCTCGGTAGAGCGATGTGTGGGGATGAAGCCGATGGCTAGCCTTAGGTTGTAGGTAACGGAGTTAATGCAACTATACGGTTGTAGAGGGGTTCTGGTGGCCTTTTTTTTTTTGGTCGATGCGTCGTTGGAGGGGTTGAATGTATCTTTTGGCGGGGTTAGTCCGCTGAGGTAACTCCAAGGTTGCCTGTGCCTGCCCTGGAGGACATTCCCCCCTCCTTCCCCAAGAGACGAAGGAAGAAAAAGAGTTGCATAGACACACACGCTATACAACATTACTCATCACTGCACCAGTCTGCTCGGTGCATCCACCTCATATTCTGTGGAATAATTCAACCTCCCAATACACACTCAGACTCAGGCAATACCAAGGACAAGAGTCAGAGTTACCCTCGTCCGTGCAAAACTTCTTACAGCAGAGTGGCGAATCAGAGCCGTCTTTACGTCCTGCTTCTGACCTGAACTTCCAGTTTGGGTCGGCCTATTAGTCACAGACCAGGGCCAGTTTAGTCGCCGAATCATCATCATCAACTCACTCAGGTACTCGCTACTTCTGCCAAAGACCCCCCCCCCCCCCAGTCAATAACGACATCATCTGCCTCGGGCAAACAACGATACTCAGCAGTGCAGCACTGGCTTTCATATACCAGCCAAGGGAGGGAGGTATCACACAGACCCTCAGACCTGCTTTCTCATTCACTCTGCTTCTTTCATCTGGCATTGCTTTCTGTCCATAGATCTTTTGATACCCCCTTGAACCCCTCATCTGCCACTCTTCCTTCATCACATATCCGCCCATCATGCCTGTTGTAACTCCCGACAAGCTGGCTAGCCTGCAAAGGCATGCCGTGGATGTGCGCAACGTAAGTTCTCACCTCATCGTCATCACACAATTCTCTCAGTGACTGACCGCAACCAGATCTGCATCCTGGCCCACGTTGATCATGGCAAAACATCACTGACAGACGCCCTTTTGGCAACAAACGGCATCATCTCACCCAAACTCGCCGGCAAGATCCGGTACCTCGACTCTAGACCTGATGAGCAGCTCCGAGGCATCACCATGGAATCCTCCGCCATCTCCCTCTACTTCTCCATGCTGAGGAGATCCGCACCCGACGCCGAGCCCGAAGCCAAGGAGTACCTCATCAACCTCATCGACTCGCCCGGCCACATTGACTTTAGCAGTGAGGTCTCCACCGCCTCACGCCTGTGCGACGGCGCCGTTGTGCTCGTCGACGCCGTCGAGGGCGTGTGCAGCCAGACCGTGACCGTCCTGCGCCAGACATGGACCGAGAAGCTCAAGCCCTTGCTCGTCATCAACAAGATTGACCGACTCATTACCGAGCTCAAGATGACGCCTGCCGAGGCCTACACTCATCTCAGCAAGATTCTCGAGCAGGTCAACGCCGTGCTGGGAAGTTTTTTCCAGGGCGAGCGTATGGAGGAGGATCTCAACTGGCGCGAGCGGATGGAGGAGCGCGTCCAGGCGGCTGCCGCCAAGGAGGCTGGCCTGGATTCTATGACCGAGTCTGGAGAGCTCCAGTTTGAGGAGCGCGATGACGAGGATCTCTACTTTGCACCGGAGAAGAACAACGTCATCTTTAGTAGCGCCATTGACGGTTGGGCGTTTACCGTGCGCCAATTTGCCGGCTTATATCAAAAGAAGCTCGGCATCAAGAGAGATGTCATGGAAAAGGTGCTATGGGGCAGCTTCTACCTCGACCCCAAGACCAAGAAGATTCTAGGCCAGAAGCATCTCAAGGGGAGAAACCTAAAGCCCATGTTTGTGCAGCTGGTGCTAGAGCCTATCTGGACCGTCTACCAAGCCACCGTTGGCGGCGACAACAATAGGGGCGACCCAGCGTTGCTGGAGAAGATTACAAAGTCCCTCGGACTGACGATCCCGCCACACATCATGCGCTCCCGGGACCCCCGCCTGCTTCTGACCACAGTCTTTGCGTCCTGGCTTCCGCTCTCGACGGCCATGCTCGTCTCCGTCATTGAGTCCCTGCCGTCACCCCCAGTCGCGCAAGCCGAGAGACTGCCCGAGATGCTGGAAGACGTCCCCGGCTCAGATGCTATCAACGAAGAGATCAAGAACGCCATGATCTCCTTCAAAACCGGCCCGTCGGACCCCGTCGTGGCCTACGTTAGTAAAATGGTTTCTGTCCCCGAAAGCGAACTTCCCCACAACAAGCGCAAGCCAGGCCAGTTGACCGCCGACGAGGCGAGAGAACTCGCCCGTAAGAAGAGAGCGGAAGCGGCTCGCGCCCAAGCCGCGGCACCTACCAGCGGAAACGGAATCAACGACCTTACGACGGCGCTCGAGGAGGTCAACCTGGACGGCTACGCTCCTGAGCACGAAGAGAAGGAAGTCGACCCCGAGCACCTCATCGGCTTCGCCCGCATGTACTCGGGCACTCTCTCCGTCGGCGACAGCCTCTGGGTCATCCCTCCCAAATGGTCTCCCGCCAACCCTAACGCCCAGCCCTCGCCGAAGCAAGTCACCGTTACGGCGCTCTACATGCTCATGGGCCGCAACCTCGAGTCCCTAGACTCCGTCCCGGCAGGCGTCGTCTTCGGCATCGGTGGCCTCGAGGGCCACCTCCTCAAAAACGGCACCCTCTGCAGCCGCCTCGACGGCGCCGTCAACCTCGCCGGCGTGGCAGGTACATTGGGCAAACCCATCGTCCGCGTCGCCCTCGAGCCCGTCAACCCGGCCGATCTCGACAAGATGATCCACGGCCTCCGCCTCCTCGTCCAGTCCGACCCCTGCGCAGAGTACGAGCAGTTCAGCAGCGGCGAGCACGTCCTTCTCACCGCCGGCGAGCTGCACCTCGAGCGCTGCCTCACGGATCTCAAGGAGCGCTTCGCCCGCTGCGACATCCAGGCCGGCGCCCCCATCGTGCCCTACCGCGAGACCATCGTCCGCGCCGAGGAGATGCGGCCCCCCGCGAATAAGGACCTCGGCCGCGGCGTCGTCGTCGGCACCACCTCGTCCAAGCAGGTCTCCATCCGCCTCCAGGTCCGTCCTCTGCCGTCCGACGCCACGGACTTCCTCCTCAAGAACGGCGACGTCATCAAACGCATGTACTCTGATCGCACACCCGCCACCAACAACACCACGGCCGAAGAAACCCAGGGTACTGAAGGCACAGGCGCCACCGCCCCCGGCGAAGAAAAGATCGACGTCGATACAGACCTGACAGCCGCAAAGACAATGTCCCTCGACGACTTCAAAACCGGCCTCCAATCCGCCCTCGAATCTTCCCGCGGCGGCCGCGAACACTTCAAATCCGCCATCGACCGCATCGCCGCCTTTGGCCCCCGCCGCACCGGCCCTAACATCCTCATCGACGCCACAAAAGAAGGCCTCCTCGCAAAGCTCTTCTCCCAGACAGCCTCCTCGGAACGCGAGGGCTCAGCAGCACCCCAAGCAGACGATGCCCTCCACCCGGCCCACGTAGCCGACAAAATCCCCTACGCCTTCCAGCTCGCCACGGCCCAGGGCCCCCTCTGCCACGAACCCGTCCGCGGCATCGCCGTCTTCCTCGAAGACGTCGTCATCAACCCCACCGAAGACGAATCCTCCGCCCGCGACCGCCTCCCCCGCCTGACGGGCGAAATCATAAAGACCTTCACGTCCTCCCTCCGCTCCGGCATGCTCGACTGGTCCCCGCGCCTGATGCTCGCAATGTACACCGTCGAAATCCAAGCCTCGACGGAGGTCCTAGGCCGCGTCTACGACGTGCTCACCCGCCGCCGCGGGCGCGTTCTCTCCGAGGCGATGAAGGAAGGCACGCCCTTCTTCAGCATCAACTCTGTGCTACCGGTGGCCGAGTCGTTTGGCTTCGCGGACGAGATGCGGAAACGTACGTCGGGCGCGGCGCAGCCGCAGCTTATTTTTGCGGGGTACGAGGTGCTTGACCAAGATCCCTTTTGGGTGCCGTTTACGGAAGACGATTTGGAGGATTTGGGCGAGTTGGCGGATAAGGAGAATGTGGCCAAGAGGTATATGGACGGTGTGAGGAGGAAGAAGGGGTTGTTGGTTGAGGGTAGGAACGTTGCTAGGGATGCGGAGAAGCAGAAGACTCTCAAGAGGTAGTGTGTTGTCGTGGGTTCGGGGAATGTGGTTGGTGGTTTAGCATGGATGTTGGTTTTGGTAGAGGCAGCGTGTGGATAATTGGGGAAACAAGAGGATATGAAATACTTGTCACTCACTTCTTTTAACCATGCCTATTCTTGTGAATCTCCTCACTCTCCGTTGCTCCCCTCAGAGTGGGTGCCTTGTAATGAGGCATCACCTCACCCATCAAGACAGCAGCAAACGTCGTGAGAACATCACCTACCACTGACACCTACAGCCGCGACTAGAGAAACAATCACATATTGCATACTTTTGTATTTCAATTCCCTTACTTATCATCTATTTTGCCCGCCTCACACGCTTCATCAGGGGGAGGTCCAATGTCAACATCTTCCATCACCCACTCCACGACAGCAGTCAAAACCATGTCAATCGTCAGACCCATCATACGTTCATTTTAAACCACCACACACCCTTGATAGCAAAGAAGAAAAGAATATGAGCCAGCTCGCCATCATTTTTTGGTATCGAATGGGGGTCGTGGTAGATGAGTTGAGAGGGAGAGCACGACCAAG